TTAATTATTATTATTACATGTATATACAACTTGCTAAGTCGATTTAGTTTTGTTCATATGTACAATTATCTAGATTTTACCACTTGAAACTACAAAATCTTTTCAGAAACTCACCTCTGGAGGAGAGGCTTGTTCCCCTTTTAGCAACCACTGACCACAAATAGCTCTTCCTCTGGAAGGAGGGGTCATGCGAATTTTTACTTGTTTGTGATGACATTTTAACTGTTGTCATTATGTCTTTCTTGTTCAGGCAATCATATTGTTGAGATTTTATGGGTATGATTTCCCTGTCATGTCTAGGGAACACTATCCAGTAGCAGGCATCTGGGTGTTTAGCTCTTAAAATGTTTCCATCCCTATTTTCATGATTCTCCCTGAGCCTTAAGAGAGTATGAGAGAATCATAGAGTCTACCTAACAAGGAAGGTTCAAGGCTGGGCACATAGATCTCCTTGGGAAGGGGCAATAGAAGGGATTTCATTGGTGGATCAGGGATGAGTGGGAATGGGAACATGAGGAATCTTGTGGGGATGGTGGAGAGAACTGAAAGAGATGATTGGAATAGTGGGGTGCCTTTCGGGGTCATGTAGAAACTTGGTTCAAGGAAAACTCTCAGGAATCTACAAGGATGATCCCAGCTAAGGCTTCTAGCAATAGGTAATAGGTAGCCTTATCTGGCCATCTCCTGTGACCAGACAAGACTTCCAGTGGAGAGATGGGGCCACAAACCCAGCTAAATAACTTTCAACCTACAGTTTTTCCTGCCGTTGTGATGTACTGGGATTGGTGCCTACCCCAATTGTCATCAGAGAGGCTTCATCCAGCAACTGATGGAAACTGATGCAGAGAGCCACAGCCAAACATTAGGGGGAACTTGGGGAATCCTGCTGAAGAGAGGGAAGAAGGATAGTAGGAGCCAAATGGATCAAGGACATCACAAGAAAATCCACAGAATCAACTAACCTTACCTCACAGAGACTGAATAAACAAATGGAATCTACGTGAGTAGCTTGGTCTTCTGATGGGACTCCTAACAGTGGGTCAGGGGCTGTCTCTGACTCATTTTCTGCCTTTTGGACCCTATTACTCATACTAGGATGACTTTCCTAGCCTTAATACAAGATGAGGTGCTTAGTCTTAGTGCAGTTTGATATGCCAGGTTTGGTTGATTCTCATCAGTGACCTGTTCTTTCCTGAATAGAAAGGAGGAGTATATGCAGTAGGGGACAGAGGGGGAGGTAGGGGGAACTATTGAGAAGAGGGGATGGAAGGGACACTGTGGTTAGGGGACTCCAAGAGGGAAAGGTGGCATGGGAGAGCCCCTGGCACTCATCTCTCTACCAGAGGGTGGAGGAGCAAGACAAGATTTGTGGCTTCAAAGAACTTTTTAATATTATTTTTATTTTGATAATCGTTCTCATTCATGAGACCATTGTTTAATTTTGACGTATTTTAAGATTTCTATTGTTCTTATTGTTAGTTTTTATTTTCACTCCATTGAAGTCAAAGAAATTACAGTTTGTTTCTGAATTATTACGATCTCTCCCCAGGTTTTGCCTTCTCTGGAATATAACCAGGAGATGGTGGCACATGCCTTTAATCCCAGCACTTGGGAGGCAAAGGCAGGCAGATCTCTGAGTCTGAAGCCAGCCTGCTCTACAGAGTGAGTTCCAGGACAGCCAGGGCTGCTACACAGTGAAACCCTGTCTCAAAGAAGAACAGGAAGAGGAAAAAGAATATAATTGAGCCAATGGACACAGAAGTTTATTTAGTGAAGCAAATTCAAAGTAAGACAAATTATAGTTCTGAGGAGAAAAATTGAAGCAGTTTGACCCTAAAGGAGAATTGCAGCCCATTGGGTTCTGTGCTGTGAATTTTTCTCCCACTCTGGTATCTTTATTATGTTCTAACCCTTTGAAACCACTTTCATTTCATACTATGTAAATGAGAATTGCTGAGGTTGGGATAGGATGTCCCATGTGTTTTTTTTTTTATTCTCTGCTCTTTCTTCTTACTACATTTATTGATAAACATGTATGCTTAGGGGGAAATGCTCTGGAGGCTTTGTTTTTGATGTAGTGAGAAGAATAGTTGTGTACCTTTAAGAATGTTTAACTACAAAGGAGTATTTTAACCGAAAGGAAACAGTTACAAAGATATGGTTGTAGTTTCTTTAATTATCTCAGAACTAATTCACTGCCTATCCAGTCAATGCATATCTAACACAGAGGGGTGCTTGTACATGATATTCTTTTCCTTTCTGCTCACAAGTGTTTAGCTTCCGTTCCAAAATTCCTTCTTTAAAGATTTGTGATTCTGAAATATTTCATGACAAGGGTGTTGACCTGCTCTCACAATTAGTTCTCACTGTACTGTGACATGGTTAACTTGACTCAAGACTCTTGCTTAACAGAAAGAGGGGTTTACCTTAGCCTCTTAGCTAACTAATGTCAGAGAGCTCAGGCATTAACTATGAAGAAGGGAACCCCAGAAATCTTGTCCTGCTTGATCTAAGGCAGAGTTGTCAGCATGCTGAAGAAGAGGGATTGAATATGATCATTGTTGGAGAATCTGCAGCTTAATAGCCTGAAGGCAAGAAGAAATGACTTTACTTAGAGGCTTAGTAAAGTGAGTTATGTAAAATCTGCAGTTTAAATTAAGGAATCTCAGTTGTGAGATGAGAGAAGATTGCCACATAATGATGGGAATAGCTGACCCAACAAGGATCTTTGAGCTGTTTTGAGAAGTTATCCTATAACTGGATATTAACTGTATTTTTTCTCAACAGCCCAGAGGTGTTGATGAAGAAACAGCAGGCCACATCATTTTCCTCATTTATTATTGTACTGGTTCTCTCTGACTTGCCTGACTCACACATCTAAGCTTGTTTAGTTTGTCAGAACACCTTGCTAATGAGCCTAATGCAGGTTGTTGTATCTCTGGTGCAGGTATAGTAGCCTCCCTAGGGTTTTGTATCAGTAATGAGATGTGCTCTAATGCTGCATTCTACGAATGAAATCTCGACCAACCAAAAATATTGTAACAGGGTATTTCTCAATCTAGAGTAGGTTAGAATTGTATTACTTATAGCCACATTTTCAAAAACCTAGAAGCAATAGCATAATCTTTTAAAATATTTTTATTATTTTTGAGATTATAATGTAATCACATCATTTTTCCTTTCCTTTCCTTTCTCCAAACAGTCCCATGTAGCCCCCTTGATATATATATATATATATGCAACCTACTCAGTACATATAATGTTACTTGTATGAATTTCCAGGCTGACTCTTTGATATTGTATAAATAATTTGTGTGCTCTCTCTTCCCTGAGGAAGATCATTTGTCCTCTCTCTGCATTTCTCCTTTGCCAGTAGTTTGAAGCCTCAAGTACTTCCATCTATGTTGGTATTTCTATTGGTATCATGTTTAGGCAGCCATGTTTATGAATATATCTTATGACATTCTTAGGAGATACAAACTCCACAGCAATCTTTCTGTTTCTCTGGGTTTCACAATATTTCTTCCCCCCTTTATAAATGATCCTTGAGCCTTAGGTGCAGGAGTTGTGTTGTAAATTTATCAGTTTGAAATAGGCTCCTAAACTCTAAATTTTGGTCCTTAACGGTTTCAGTTTGTTGTGAATAGAGGTTTCTTTGATGATCTGTGAGAAATATACTTTATCTGTGGGTATAGGAACAGATATTTAGAATGTAGTTAGGAATTATGCTGGCTTAGAAAGTCTTGGTTAGAGGTTTCCTATAAGAACCATGCCTCATTAGCTCAAGATTATAAAAACTAAATCTCTGAAACTGTAAGCCACCCCCAATTAATTTTTTCCTTTATCCAGCACAGTCTTGATTGCTTTGCTAATCATGCCTCCCTGTCTACAACTGGATTCCAGGATATGACTCAGAGCTTAGCTGTGGGTGCATGCCTTTGCTTCCATCAGGTACTGGATAAAGGCTGTTCAGGGTACCTGGTTTGGTCCTATGTTGGTTCCCCAGCTGTCAGACTGGGATCCATGAATTTCCACTTTCTCAGGTCAGCTGTTTCTGAAAGTTTTCCCAGTATAGTCTTGACCTCTTTCTTGGTCTCTTCTCACTCTTTGAAACTGGATTCTAGCATTTGGACTCAGTGCTTAGCTGTAGATCTCTGTTTCTGCTTCCAGCAGCTACTGGATGAAGGCTCTAGAATGGCATTTATGGCAGTCATCATTCTCATTATAGGGGAAGGGCATTTAAGGTAGCCTCTCCACTATTGTTTAGGTTCCTAGTTGGGGGTCTTCCTTGTAGATTTCTGTACAATTCCCTACTGCCAGATTTCTCTTTAAACCTATAGTGGCTCCCTCTATTGATATGTCTCTTTTCTTGTTCGTCTCTATTCTTCTCCCCACTCAATCTTTCTGATCCCTCATGTTCTCCTCCTCCCTCCTCTTCTCCCATCTCCTCGAATGCTTACGATTTGTTCAGGACCTCTTGTCTTTTCTGCTACACTGGGGGAACATGCATGTCTCTCTTATGGTCCTCCTTGTTTCCTTGATTCTCTGGAGGTTTGGATTGTAGGCTGGTAACTATTTGTGCTATGTCTAATATCCATATATGAGTGAGTACATACCATGTCTGTCTTTCTGTGATGGAGTTACCTCACTTAATGGTTTCTTCTAGTTCCATCCATTTACCTGTTGAGGTTTGCTATGTTGCCGAGTATGTGGTCGATTTTTGAGAACGTTCCATGTGATGCTGAAAAGAAGATATATTCTTTTGTGTTTGGATAGAAAGTTCTATAGATGTCTGTTAATCCCAATTGGTTCATAACTTGTTAGTTCCTTTGTCTCTTTGTTAAGTTTCTGTTTGCTGGTCTTGTCCAGTCCTGTCCTTATATTTAGGAGCTACTGATTTTTTGTGTTAATCTTGTATTCTACCACTTTGCTAGAGGTGTTTATCATCTGTAGGAGTTCCCTGGTAGAATTCTTCAGCTCACTTATATAAACTATCATACCATCTGCAAATGGTGACAAATTGACCCATTTTACCCAGGAACAATTTGAGGTGTACTGGTATTAGCTCTTCTTTGAATTTCTGGTAAAATTCTTCACTGAAAGCATCTGGTCCTGAGATTTTTTGATTAGGAGTCTTTTCATAGCTGCTTCGATTCATTAGGGGTTTGAGGTTTATTTAAATTGCGTATCTGTTCTTGATTTAACTTTGGTAAGTGATATCTATCCAGAAAACTGTTCATTTCCTTTAAATTTTCCAATTTGTGGAGTACACGTTTTCAAAGTATGACCTGATGGCTCTCTGGATTTCCCCAGTGTCCATTGTTATGTCCCTCTTTTCATTTATGATTTTACTAATTTGCATGATATGTCTGCCTTTTGGTTAGGTTGGATAAAGTTTTGTCTATCTTGTAGATTTTTTTCAAAGAACCAACTCTTTGTTTTGTTGATTCTTTGTATTGTTTTCTTTGTTTCTATTTTGTTGATTTCAGGTCTCAGTGTGATTATTTCCTGGCATCTACGCCTCCTGGGTGAGTTTGCTTCTTTATGTTCTAGAGCTTTCGGGTATTCTGTTAATTTTCTAGAGGAGCTATGCTCCAGTTTCTTCATTTAGGCACTTAGTGCTATGAAATTTCCTTTTAGCATTGCTTTCAGAGTGTCCCATAGGTTTGGGTATGTTGTGCCTGTATTGTCATTGAATTCTAGGAAGTCTTTGATTTCTTTCTTTACTTCTTCCTTTACCCAGGAGTGATGCTGTTGAGCATAGTTGGATGTGTTCTGATACTGTTGTCTTCCCATCTCTTCTTCCAGTGGGTACAGATGGGGTCTCTCCCTTCCCCCTCTCTCTCCTGGAGGGTGGAGAGGCAAGGCAGGAATGGCTGCTGATTGAGCTGTACTGATTTTATGGGCATATATGCATTTGGCATGCTGTTAGTACTATTTTAATACTATTTCCTTAATGATAATAATGGGTTCTTCACTAGAGACTGTGATCTTCTAAGCCACAGGTTGTTGTGTTACCAGTGGACAATTTAAAAAACTCTGGGGAAGTTTGGGGTGCAGGTTAGTAAATTCGTACCTATTTTCATCGTGTCCCCTATGCAATGACATCTTCAATTGCAAAAAGTTTCTTACACAAAGCATAGTTATTTGTTACCTTTTATTCCATATCATTTGGCTATTTTACATCTATTAATTCAGAATTCAGAAATGTAGACATATTTCTGCTTACTACTGATAAGGATATAATTCTTATGTTAATTTGTATTGATTGGTATGTTCTTTTGTTTCTTTTTACTTTATTAATTCTTTTCATTTACTTTACATCCTAACTGCAGTTTCCTCCTCTCCTCCCATCCCATTCCCCACCTCCCTTTAGACCCCTGCAATCTACTTCTCCTTCTCTTTTCAGAAAGGGGCAGATATCCCATGAGTATCAACAAAGCATGGCAATCAAGTTGAGGCAGGACCAAGCTCCTGCAAGCCAGCACGGGGAGTAGGATCCAAAAATCCAGCTCAAGTCCCAGGGACATGAAAGGCCAATTAAGGAAGTACACAAACACCAAGTAAAAGAATAGCCAATATTTATTTAGGGAACTCACACACACACCAAAAGTTAAAGTGCTGCCATGGTCTTCTGCACTTGGAGGTGCAAGATGCTGCAATGCTGTACTATGGTCACATCTCAACCCATCACCCCAAAAGAGAGAGTGTGAGACCCCCTCCTCTTCTTTCTAAGGAAGCTACCCTCTAAGGCTCTGAAAGTATTGGTGGGAAATGAATTCCCACTTCAGGGACAGGTCCTGATCCCACTGCCAGGCGCCTAACAAACAGACAGAGCTACACAGCTGTCACACACATGAAGAAGGCCTCGGTTGGTCCCTTGCAGATTGGTCCAGCATCTGTGACTTCCTTAAAAGCCCATCATGACCTTGAGCCCCCTGGTTCATACAATCCTTCCCCCGTCTTCAACAGGACTCCCAGAGCTCTGCCCGGTGCTTGGTTGTGGATCTCTGCATGTGCTTCCATCAGTTATTGGATGAAGGCTCTATGATGACAATTAGGGTAGTCAACAATTTGGTTACAGAAGAGAGTCAGTTCAGGCACCCTCTTCCTTATTGCTAGGGGTCTTAGCTAGGGTCATCCTTATGGATTCCTGGAAGTTTCCCTTGTACCAGGTTTCTCCAGAAACCAGAACCTCCCATCAAGACATCTCATTCATTACTCTCTCCATCCTTCCCTCAATCCCTTTGGGTATATACCCAAGATTGGTATAGTTTTCACAATTTTCTAAGAAACTGCCATGTAGTTGGTTGTCTACTTGAACAGATACCTGTAGTTGTTTTTATTTTAAATCATTTACTCTTTGGGGCCACACAACCCAGCTCCCAGATAAATACATGAAGACTTATTCTTTCCTATGAATACCTTCACTTGGCGCATTTCTAACCAGCTTTTCTTAACTTAAATTATTCCATCTACATTTGCCTCTGGGCTTTTACCTTCCTCTATTTTGGGGTATCTTTTCTTTCCTTCTCATTCCATGTCTGGTTGTGTGGCTGGTGGCAGAGCCCTGACATCCTCTTTTTTCTTGGTTTCTTGCTCCTCCCTCTTCTTTTTTTTCTATTTCTATTTATTCTCCCTGACTGGCAGCCCTGTCTATCCATATCCTGTCTAGCTATTGGCCATTCAGTTCTTTATTAGACTAATCCAGTGTTTTGGACAGGCAAAATAACACAGGTTCACAGAGTAAAACAAATGCAACATAAAAGAATGCAGCACATCTTTGCATCATTAAACAAATATTCCACAGCATAGTATATCTTTAATATTATACAACACCAATATATCAATATCCAAGGTGGCTGTGCAAGTTTGTAATAGCACCAGCAGTGGAGGAGTGTTCCCATCACTATAAATGCTCTCCAAAGTAAGCTGTCATTAATGTTCTTCTGATCTTAGCTATTCTGACAGGTATAAGATGGTATCTCAGAGTTATTTTGATTTGCATTTCCCTGATGGCTAAGAATGTTGAACAATTCCTTGAGTGTATCTCAGCCATTTGAGATTCTTCAGTTGAGAATTTTCTGTTTAGATCAGTATCCACTTTTTAATTGGATTATTTGGTATTTTGATGTCAAGTTTCTTGAATATATCTATCTGTATCTATATCTATATCTATATCTATATCTATATCTATATCTATATCTATTTCTATATCTATATCAGCCCTCTGTCAGATATGGGGATTTTGAAGAACTTTTCCCATTCTGTAGACGGCTGTTTTATCTTATTGACAGTGTCATTTGCCTTACAGAAGCTTTTCAATTTCATAAGGTCCCATTTATTAATTGTCAATTTTCTCTATGCTATTGGGGTTCTATTCTGGAAGTGGCCGCCCATGCCAGTGCATTCAAGGCTATTTCCCACTTTCTCTTCCATCAAGTTCAGTATAATTTGATTCATGTTGAAGTCTTTGATGCACTTGGACTTGAGTTTTGTGCAGGGTGATAAATATGGACCTATTTGCATTCATCTACATATTGACATCTAGTTATATCTGCAAAATTTGTTGAAGTTGCTTTTTTAATTTTTTATTTAAATTAGAAACAAGATTGTTTTACATGTCAATCCTCATTCCTTCTCCCTTCCCTCCTCCCCTGACTCCCACTAACACCCTACCTATCCAATACCATTTCTGCTCCCCAAGGAGAGTGAGGCCTTCCATGAGGGTCTTTTAGAGTCTGCCATGTCCTTTGGGATAGGGCCTAGGCTCTCCCCAGTGTGTCTAGGCTGAGGGAGTATCCAAATACTTGGTGCCCCAAGTCCATTTCTACACTAGGGATAAGTACTGATCTACTACAAGAGGCCCCATATATTTTTGAGGCATCCTCACTGACACCCACATTTATGGGGTCTGGATCAGTTTCATGCTGCTTTCCCAGTGATCAGTCTGGGGGCCAAGAGCTCCCTCTTGTTCAGGTCAGCTGTTTCTGTGGGTTTCACAAGCATGGTCTTGACCCCTTTGCACATCATTCCTCCTTCTCTGCAACTGGATTCCAGTTCAATGTTTAGCTGTGGGTAGATGAAGGCTCTAGGATGGCATATAAGTTAGTTATCAATCTCATTATCAAGGGAGGGCATTTAAGGTAGCCTCTCCACTGTTGCTTAGATGGTTAGTTGGTGTCATCCTTGTAGATATCTGGATATTTCCCTAGTGCCTGATTTCTCTTTAAACGTACACTGGCTCCCTCTTTGATGGTATCTCTTATTTTGCTCTCCTCTCTTCTTCCCCCACACAACCTTCCTGCTCCATTATGTCCTCCCCAACCCTCCTCTTCTCCCTTCTCGTTCTCCTAGCTCCCTCTCCCATGCCACCATACTCCCAATTTGCTCAGGAGATCTTGCCCCATTCCCCTTCTCTAGGGGACCATGTATGTCTCTTTTAGAGTCCTCCTTGTTGCCTAGCTCCACTGGTGGTGTGGATTATAGGTGGTAATCCTTTGCTCTGTTGGAAAAATCCATATATGAGAGAGTGCATACCATGTTTGTCTTTTTGTGACTGGGTTACCTCACTCAGAATGGTTTCCTCTAGTTCCATCTATTTGCCTGTGAATTTCAATATTCCATTGTTTTCTTCCACTGATTAGTACTTCATTATGTAAATATACCACATTTTCTGTATCCATTCTTCTGTTGAGGGGCATCTAGGTTGTTTCCAGGTTCTGGCTATTGCAAATAATGCTGCAATGAACATAGTTGAACAGATGTCCTTGTTGTATGAATGTGGTTCTTATGCCTAAGAGTGGAATTGCTGGATCTTGTGGTAGACTCATTCCCGTTTTCCTGAGGGATCTCCATACTGATTTCCAAAGTAGATGTACAAGTTTGCACTCCCACCAGCAGTGGAGGAGTGTTCCCCTTTCTCAACATCCTCTCCAGCATAAGTTATCATTGGTGTCTTTCATTTTACCCATTCTTATTGGAGTAAGATGATATCTCAGAGTTGTTTTGATTTGCATTTCCCTAATGGCTAAGGATGTTGAGCACTTTCTTATGTGTCTTTCAGCCATTTTAGATTCCTCTATTGAGAACTGTCTATTTAGTTCTGTACCCCACTTTTTAATTGGATTATTAGGTGTTTTGGGAACTAGCTTCTTG